AAAGAGACATCTCCCAGTATGGCAGTGTGCTTCCATCGCTCTCTGTCACCGAGAGTTTTATTCTACACCAGTACAGACCCCCCCATGCCAGCTCTCACCTTTCTGCAGGTACAGACGCGACGCAAGGCTAAGGGTGGATTCTGCGATCCTTCTGTGAAGGGTGCCCAACATGTGGTGGAGACAGGGCACTGACTCCAGATGCATCGCCTCCAGCAAATGCTTCTCTGTCTGATTTGCTGCTCCTAAAAAGCAAAGTCCTATTCCTGTTAGGTCATGCCCATGTAGTGGAAAACAGGGACGTTACTCTAGCTGCCTCCTGTTAGAAACATACTGTGCCTTACAAAAGAGGCTGGATAAACCTGAGAGTAGGAGCCTCAGCAGGGCCATGGAGGGCAGCCTCAATTGTAATTGTACCCAGTTAAAGCTGCAGGAGTAAGATTAAGTGGAAGGTGCTGTATTTAATCTTTGCATTTTGCACATTGGTTCCTAAGTGCCTCCAGGAGGGGGAACAGGGAAGGGCAGGAAACTGTGCTTTTGTAACTAAGAAGTTACCCAGTGCCAGGTGAGACAAGGCGAGGGCGATGCAGAGGGGTGACAGGATCACATTGGTTCTGTTGGACTCCAGCTGGACCTCTTTCAGGAGATCGATGCTGAATCTCATCAAGCCATCTGCTAGCCTCTGGCTCTTCTTCCAAGTCATCTCACAGCTTTTATCTTCAGCCTCTCTTTCCTCTTCAGAAGAGGCAATTTCCCCAGATGGTTGCTGTTCATGACAGCCCACAGCCCCAGCTATGGCTTCATTGTCTGGGTTCCAGTCATTCCTCATGCCTGGCAGGGTGGTGGTGAAAGGTAACACGGGTCCATCAATGTCCTGGAAGCTGTCATAGGTAAAGTCTTCCAGCTCTGCATTTGGCCGGGTTGGGATGGCTCCCAGCAGAGCAGGCTGCACAACTCCAGCGCTTTTCACATCCTGGGGAGAAACGAGAAGGATAGCACCGGGAAAGCAGGAGCACGGCATTACCTTCCCTCATAGGTTTTACTGCACACCTAAATGGGTTGAGAAAACTCTCCAGCTTCTCTACTCTGGTGGTGTATTTGCTTCAGTTTGCCTTTTAACCTTGAGGTTGAAAGCACCTCAATGAGTATGGAAAACAGAAGGTCTTGTATCCTGGGAAAATGGACTGAGTGAGGGTCTTGCCGTGGTTCCTCCTCCACTTGCTCTCAGGGCCTGCCCCAGGCAAACGAGCCCAACAGGCATGCTTTGAGGGCGAGAACCACCACCTGCTCAGCACATCTCCCGTGCCTTCACCGTTTATAGATCCATCATCCTCAACCTTGATTTCACCACGTCCTCTCACATATTTTAGGACTGCCAATCTGCCTCGTGCATCGGTCAGCACCCTCTACAGCTGTCACAGCCTTGATCTTTTTGGCTCAAATCCTCCTCCAGGCACCTGTCTCTTCTTGACTTGTCTGTTCTAGTCCATCCCTTTTCTCTCCAAATTCCTCATTTTCCAGTTTTCTAAGCTTTAGCCTATAGCACTGCTGCTACTGTCCTCACATTTGCATGGTCTTAAGCACATGCTTTTTTGCTCAGATCTCTCTGTTCCCACTGGCATCCGGATGATGTTCCTCTACTGCAGGAGCACTGCACTGTCAGAGCCAAGCTCGATGGGTAGCCTCAGCTATGGGTCTTTCTCCCTGTCACCCTCATAGCCAGTTGTTTTCCTCATCTTTCCCTTGTCAATCAGAAATTAAATAATCCACCTGCCAGTCCCTGTACACACCAGCTACCGATGCTTACTCCATACGCTGCCCAGTTATTTAGACTGGAGCTTCCAACACGAAGGAGCACAGTGTTGGCAGCAGCAGAGAGTGAGGCGGGGAGGGAAGCCTGCACAAAGATGGACTTTCTTATTGCACTGGCACTGCTAGATTACGCTGCCTGGACTCATCCTATCTCAGGACAAGCTGGAAACCCATTGCAAATACTACAGCATAATTTCAGTGCCCTTGGGTGGAACCAGTCATTGCTTACCTTCAGCTCCCCATCTTTGTCTAAGAAGAGATGCTTTTGCTCAATGACATGTGCTGAAGAAAACTGTAGGGGGAAAAAAAAAACCCCAAGAAAGAAACGAAGTCAGGTCCCAGATACTTGCCTCTGAATTCCCAGAGTCAGTCTTCTCTGCTCCCACTCCTAACACATTCCCCTGAGGCCAGGTCAGAGACTGGCACCAGCCTGGCTGTAGCAGTCCTCACATGGCTAGAGCATGGGCAGGGCTTTAGGATGCAGACCCAGAGGCAGCAGGGTCCCCTGAGGGGAGGTGGAAGTGAGCAGGAGCTGGGAGAGAGTGCAAATGCTGGATTTGTTTAGAAAGGGACCAGGCCAGAAGGGTACAAAGTAATGTATCCTCTAGAGAGTGAGCAGTGCGGTTTTGCAATCTCAGATCTGACGGGGATCCAGATTTAAAATGGGAAGAAAAAAAGCTGTTATTAAACAACCTCCTGTTAACCCCTGAAGGTCATGGTCACTAAATAGAGTTGAAGCCAAGTTTACAAAGATTTTCTACAGAAATCCCCTTGAATCATGAGAATATCCACAACTATTTTATCTGGGAAAAAGATTAGAAACCTTGCTGCACTGGGGCATAGGCTAACCCCATAGCAGAGCAGTGTCCTCCACCAGTCTGCCTTCCAGGACTTCTCACGCAGAAGCATCAGGTGGTATTTGCCCCATGGAATGGTGCAGGAGAGCCACCTCGTTCCCCTTGCCCTTTGCTGGCTGGGGAGAGGGCTGTGCTCACGCTGCAGAGGCCCCCACCATCGCTGGAGTGAAGCAACTTACCCTTAGGTGACTGTGCAGAGCAGACAGGCAGAGCAGCAACAGACCCCAGAGGAACATCATATTTCTGGAACAGAAGGACCAGCCGAGAGAGAAGTTATTTCCAGCTGCCTGGCAGCAGCAAGCTGAGCCTATTCAGGTCTACAGGGAGAAAATAATCAACCTGGCCAAACAGGTTGGCGCAGGAGCTTGCAGAAAGCAATAGGGAGATGAACAATGCTGCAAAGAAACAACACAGGACTCCTGGGTCCAATGCCAAGGCAGCAAAATGAGAGAGGAACAGGGACCCGTGCCGGAGCAGAGCTGTAACCACAGCCAGGTTCCTACATGACATTCTCCGGCTTGGATCCTGCATTTCTGACCTTATCGCCCTAATTTCTCTGGATTGCAAATGGTGTTTCCCTAATCAGTCCTGCACACGCGGTGCCTCTGGAAGAAGACAAGAGCCTCTGCTTCTTTCCTGTGCAAACCACCAAGGTATGGGCACAGCATCCTCAGCTGCGCCCTGGGCTCTTGGGAGAAGGGATACTAACCTGCCTCAGAGGGGCTGCAGGCACTCAGCAAGTGCTGTCTGGGAGGGACTTTGCAGGTAGAAAATGCAATACCAGAGCAGTTTCTCAGCAATATGTCCTGGAACAGAGAGTCCTCCCCTTTCCAGCACTGGCCTTCCCCCTTTGCTGGCAAACCCAGCCTCTTCCACCCCCGCACTCTGGTTCCTGTATGGGACAGCGGGAGGAGGGCTTCCAGGGCCATGGATGTAACCCCACCCATTCCCCGGCCACCGCTTCACCCAGCCACTTTTCCCTTTCAAACAGAAATAACCTATCTTCTTCTTAACATAAAGCCTCCTTGCCAAAGCCCAGCCATTGGCAGAGCTGCCATACACTTAATTCCTAGTGCTGCTTTCCACTCCCCGAGCAGTCCTTGCTTTCACCCGAAACTTTTGGGTTGTGACCCCAGTTGCCAAGTGAAAGAAGCAAAACTTGAGGCTGTTTCATTCCCTCTCCTCCCAAATCCTGCAGCCACATATAACTCTCAACAACCCTTTCCTCCCTGGTGGTGCCCATCCGCTAACCCTCTGACAAATTCACCCCCCTTTCCCAGAGAGACACTGTTGATTATTGGAGAAGCCCCAATTTACTGTCAAATCCTCATTTATTTGCCCCTTACCTGAGGTTGTTCGTATCCACGTTGGAGCTGGCACCTGCTTTACCCCAGCCAGTAGCTCTGCGTGGGGCAAACAGTCTCTTGTCCAGCCCACCCCTCCTACCCACCGGCACTGACCTTCGGCACCACCCCCTATTTGAGAATTTCACAGGCAAATATTGACCTACAGCATCCGCTTAACCATTTGCTTGGGGGATAAGAGTGAATTTGTGATGCATTTGGAGACGGGGAGACACTTTGGGCTGCTGTACCCTCAAGACAATGTTAACACTGAGTTTACCAGCTCCAAAAGTCCCATCAGCAGAAGTAACATGCAAAGTCAGTCATCCCTAGTAGTGGCTGTGCTTTACATATACTCCCTGAGCTGGGAATGTGCTCTTTTATTCATAACCTTTAGTGAAAATGTAGGGTTTGGTATTTATTGCCACAGGGCTCGTTCTTGTTTTGGAATTTTCTTTGCAGAAAACCCCAGATATTTACTCCCTGTATCCCAGCTGCTTCTGCTGCAGCAAGCGCGAGGCATCGGTTTTAACAGACAGCAGGTGCCCAAGGGCCCGTGGCCACATACCCGAGCAGGAGGCAGCGATGCTCAGGCTGGGCTGAGCCAAGACCAGCTGGTACCTCCCCCGGGGCACAGCACGCACCGCAGCCCTGCCGGGGGAGTTGGCCGTGGTGCCGGGCTCCATGGCACGCACGCACCGCTGCAGCATGGAGGAAGAGTCTCAGGGATGGGCAGAATTCCAGCAGTCCTGTCCTGTGTGATTTTGTGCCATATGCAGAAGCAATGGTGATCCTTCCCAGCTCTGTCCATGTCTTCAGTGCGAGAGGAGTCACTAAGGAGCAGTGGGGAATGCTAATGGGATCGTAGCGCTTGCAGCCATCCATTCCTTACAGCAGCTCTTTGTTCCCAAACTCACTCCAGATACTGGGAAGGAGTGGAAAGGAGACAGGTCTGAGCTCTGCAACCAGAAGCTACTTTGGGACATGCCGCTGCAACATGAGGAGCTACTTCCCCTTGGAAAGCAGATCCAAGTCCCTGTGCAGCAGAGTCCTACCTTACATCCAGGGCATCTTCACAGCATCCCTTCCTCCAGCTCACCCAGGAACATGAGAGGTGCCCGAACGCAGAGCTTTAGCTTTGGCTGCCAGAGCAGGAGAGCTGCAGCCAGCATGCCCAGCCCTGTACCGCACCGCACCCAGGCCCCTCCAGCACAGACCTCCCCACGCACCCATCTCCGCATCTCTTTCAAAGAGTTTATTAGAAGTAAATATTTACATCTATTGCAAATGGTTAATAGGCAACACAGGACTGAGAGCTCCCCTTGGGTAGGGAAGGAGATAGCAAGGGCTCACCTCCCCACCCTCCCGGGAAGCGGGGGGCAGCCTTCCCAACTGCAAGTGGCTCAGATGAACCAGCAGCTGGATGAAAACCCTTTTCCCTCCCAGGACAACCCACAGCAGGCTCCGCCTCTGCCCCAGATTAAGAGCTTCCCTCTAAGAGCTTCCCGCTCCTGATACTGGCTCTGACTAGGCTGAAGGATGGATGGGAAAAGGGCTGCAATAGAAGTGAGGCAACTGCTCCTACTGCTGGGTCAAAGAGCGCTCTCCTTGCCTTTGGAGTGGGAACAGACGGTGCTGTCCCAAAGGGAAGGTCAGGAGGAGACCATGCTGGATCATGCCTCCTGGGTCTCACCCTGCGAGGGCAGGAGGGGACAAAACTGAGCACCTTTTTGCTGTCCTGTCTTCCCCAGGAGTCTGACCAGCACAAAGGAGAGGATTAGGAGGATTTCTTGAGAAACACTGCCAGTGCGTGGCACACAGGGCATTCCTCACCCCTGAGATACTCACAGGATGTAGTGCTGCTGGGGCAGGAACAAACAACAGTCCATCCCTACCCTACTGCTCCAGAAGCCAAAATCCTCACAGAAGCATCTAGTTCTGGCCTCCCTAGAGGGTCACGTTCCCATCCCAAACTGTCCATCTGCAGCAGCCCATTCCTAAATGAACTGGTGGAGCAGATGGGGTTTGCGCCTTGGCTGACTTTCTTCCAGTCTTTGCCCTGGCACCAGTAAGGCAGCAGAATTGCTCTAGTTAACCTCTCCTCCTCCCATACAGGCTCTAACTCAGCCGGCAGAACCTAAAGTTTAATAGAGTACATCCTCTGGGCTTTGAACACAGACCACAGGAGGAGGAGATGCCCGGCACCACACAGCTCCGAAGGTGGCAGTTCCCAGGCCCAGCTTATGCTATCCTAGTAAGACTGTTCAGGAGTGGAAGTGAAGGGTAAGTGCACATGGCAGTAGCTATACTGTTGTGTTCTTGTCAAGGGGTACCTCTTACCCCTTAACTGAAGGAGGGAGGATACCTGTGGTCCATATTACTCTGGAGAGCAGCTCACAGTCCCCTGCGGATCAGGCACACATGGTATGGAAAGCTCCAGGCCTCCCTGCAGGGGTGACAGTGACCTACAACGCTCAGCATTTCTCCCAGCAGCAGTGGAGGTTTCTCAGTTATGGCTTTTTTCTTTCTAAAGATACAGAAAGAGGTTAGAGATGCTTTACCGAGTGCTCACTAACAAGTACACCTCCCCCCTGCATCCTCTGTTCAGAAACATCTAACTCTGCCTCCTCCGTAAGCGACGCTGCTGGCTTTCAGCTCTACCACCAGCACTGTGGGACAGCCACCAGCTCCTGGGCTGGGGGTCACTACGCCAGGAGACGTATGATGCCATTGTCCGAGCCCAGCAGGAGATGGCATTTCGTGGGCAACACCGCCAGGCTGGTCAGTGTACCCCGAAAATTCTCTGAGCTCAGCTTGGTCGTGCTGATGGGCAGAGCTGAGGACTGCAGCATGGAGTAGACACCAATCTTGTTGGCCACAGTGCCAGTGACCACTTCGTTGCCATAGAGGTCAAATGCGTGGATGGGTTCAGATGCAGATTTGTAGTGGTGCAAAGGTTTCTGCTCCAGTTCCTTCCAGACAGTCAGGGAATGATCTGAAGAGGAGCTGATTAGCACGTTGCCCTCTGCAGCCTGCAGGAGAGGAAAGGCCAGTGAACCAACACTGCTGCAGTAAAAACTCCCAATCTCATCCTGCAAATGAGATTAGCAGGTAGCTGTCAATAATCCAACGGTTGCAGCGCAATCCCTTGGGACAGTCCCAGCCATTTCCAAACAAGTGATGGTACTGAGCAGTATTAACAAGGCATTCAGGTGGACACTGCAAGCTACAGGACTCTCTGGTAGCTGGCAACCTCCTCTAGTGCTATCAAATTATCCAAGAGATGGGCTGTGTCTCTTAACAACATCCTGACACTCAACACAACTAATTTATCATCTGTTACTACTGCAGTGGGTAAAGAGATTATCAAGTGGTCTCCCTCTCCATAAACCACCTGCCAAATTATTTTCTTTCTCAGGAAAAGGAATTGGGAGGTTCTCTCATGGTAGAAAATACTGCCGAGGGTAGGAAAAGCCTGGAGCTGCTTATGAGCAGAGCTAATGAGAGGGTAAACAACCCACACCGCTGAACTTTGTTTAACCTGCATTTGGGTCGAGGACGCTGGAGCCCCAGTGCTGCTCCCTGAGGGTGGGTAAATATGGACAAGGGTTACTCATTAGAGCGACGCTCTCCCAGGGGGCTGAGAGCCTTGCGGAGAAAGCAACACATTCGCTTCTTCACAGGAGATGTGTCTCCTCCCTGCCCCTGCTGCAGACCTGCTTGGCAGGGACCAGCACCTGGGAGGGCTGATCTCCGTTTAACACAGGTTGGACCAAGAACAGCTGCCCGCAGCACAAACCATGGGGCAGGAGAGCTTGAGCAGCCTCTTAGGGACACAGCAAGGGATGGACGAACGCCCAGAGGATGGGGCAGACAAGCCCTGCCAAACAGCACAT